CTGTGATTAGACACGGACACCAAATCAGAAACAAGAAAGACACAATGAAAATTAGGAACAAAAGTCAAACAATCACCTAGAAAATAACAGAAGACCATGTGAGAACACTAAGCCAGTAAGCACCCCTTCCTTCACATGGAATGCACCTTCCTGCACAACAGCATTTCACCCAAAAGAGATTAAAGAGCTGGTGCTTAATGCTGACCCTGGAAACTTGCCCAGAAGTTTTTACATCGCTCAGCACCCTGTGCATAAAAGGGCAGCAATGGTGACACTCCTGGTGAACTCCTGCTGGCCAAGCTGTCTGGCAGGTATAGCTAAAAAACCCAGGTTTGGAAAATATTGCCTTTTTATAGCTTATCTCAGTGCAGACAGCTGCCTCACACCTCTAGAAATAGCAGGATTTAACAGCCATGTTTGCAGGGACAGATTTTAAAGGTTCCATCTTCTAAGAAACAACCTACACATTCAGAAACAGGAGGCCAGATTTGTTTTGATACTGGAACCCCCTTCCATATGCTAAGCATACCCACGGATTTGCAAAAACCCTGCTCTGAAAACGGGATGTTCATTCAGCAACAGGCGACAAGTAACTTGCATTTGCCTTCCCATAGAGTCTGTTCCCAGCTAAATCAGCAGCAAAGTAGTAACATGATTAGGCTGATATTGCCTTTAGCTGAAAATAGCTGGCATTTTAGAAGTAAAATAGTGGTGGAGGAGAGCATTAAACACTGGAAAAACAAGACTAATCACTTAAATACAAATACCCCACAGGCACAGCTAATCAGCACCTCTCTGTTGTTCTTCTCAAGGTGAAGCAAGTCAGGATCAGATCCCAAAGCACTGTTTTGATTTGAGATAAGGACTGAGCCATGAGATTCACTCCTGGGTCACTCTCACAGCTGCAAACCCCAGCCCTAGGAGTCTGGAGGAGCTTCTTCAGCCTTCTCCACTTTATCATGCTGTTGAATGCGACTGTGATGTTATTTTCCTACCTTTTTACAAGAACAAGCTTTTTTAGGTAAAAAGCATCAAATTCCCATGTATTTAATACTGGAAGTACTGATGCTAATGATGTAAATGGTTCTGAAACTAACGGGGCCTTGCAAAATTTCCACAGTACCACCTTTTACTAGCAATAGTTGGACCAGTTGACTACAGCATCTTCCTCATCAAGAAATTTTTAAACTTTGGGTTTTTTAATTGAATGAAGGGGTACTAAAGACAACAACCTGCTATGAAATGACCCAAATTCCTATGCAAACAAGTCATTAGCAGTGTTCAAATGCAATTTAAATTACTAGTTGTTAAAGTGCTCCTCAATTTCATGGTAAGTTTCCAAGCAAAATTACACGCTATGTACTATTTAATTGATTGTTTTCTACTTCTTAACATCCATTTATTCCCTCCTCCTGTCCTTTTCTTAATTTCAAGGGATGATAATGACTTTTCAGGGAAGAAAGGGGAACAGCAAATGGAGTTGAAGAGGGATTTACCTGAAGAACAAGGATGTAGGAGGGAAGTGGCTGCCAAAAACAAGCAGCTTCACCAGAACTTGTCCCTCTGATATTTCTGCAGTAGGGGTGTGAGACAGCACAGTACAAGAAGTCTTTTCCTCTCCACCACAGGCAGACAGCCTTCTGAAATCTGGTATTTCTTTAAAACATTGTCCTCCCCCATCAGGACAAGCAGCAAGCACAGTTAACTATTCGAGGGCATCAGTAAAGCAACAAGAGCAACCCATTTCCTCCTGGGCACTTTAGCCCTTGAGCCAACACACTCACCGGAGGCAAACAAGTTGTTCTCACTTGGAGATCTCATCCCAAATGCAAATACCTAACTTACAAGGTCCCCCCCAAAGCTGACTGAAGAATTAGGCTGTGAGTGAGACCTCCTGCTGTGTGACCAGCTGGAACAGGAGAACACGTATGAAAAACAGCTAATAACAACAGGCATTTGTTAGAAGCCTGCACTCAACTCAAATGCCAGGAAAGAGCAGCCGTACAATTAGGTGAGGTGCCATCTGGAAATTTCTAATGTAACCATACGTGTTGAGATCATGTCACACACTAGCAACACAGATCAACTTTATTCAATACTCAATTCCTCTTGGTTTACCTTTAAGCAACTGATGCAGAAATATTTCGTGCTCAGACAAGTATGACTTTATTAGAGTAAGAGAGATGGGTTTAACAGCATCACTCTGCCCAGGGCCATAAAGCACCCACCTGTCTGCAGGAGCTGAGCATGAACCATCACACAAAATACAGAGATTTGCACTTTTCCTGAATCTGCCACACAGTGCCCTAATTTCTATGCCTGCACACCACAATAACACCAGCCTTTCCTCAGCCTTCAGGCACAATTTAGTACTTACGGGATCCGAAACCTTTGCCTAAAGAAATGCAAAGTATAAGATGTGCAGAGGTTTGTAACCTTCACCCCTCCATGCCCACATGTGCTTTCTGGGGCAGCTTCTCTTACCTGCCATGGGGCACATCCACCCAGCCCTTAGTGCACACTGAGCTCCCTCAGAGCACTCAAATCACAGTGCTGGTGCAACCCCTTTGCCAACTATGCAGTGCCAACCCTGGATTGATCAGGGCAACAGCCAGGATGAAGGATGGGCTGTGAACCAAACCTCCCTACATGGGAGCTAAAGCAAGTCCTTTGCGTTTAACAATCATTAAAAGAGATTGAGAGAAGCTTAAGAAAAGCAGGCATGGAGCTCTCTGAACACTCTTGAGGGCCAGTGCCATGGAAGGCTTCTCAGGCAGTGTTTACTAGGTGCCAGGCTAGAAGAGGAAAAAAAAAAATCTTTAGACAGCTGTATTAATTTACAGGTCAGCCTTTAATGGCTCTGTTCCTGGAGCACAAGAAAATCCTTTGTGGATCCTGGAAAGCGTCAGTGGTCACTGAATCTGCTCAGGTCCTGGAGAAACACCAGATGGAGAGCCCTGGCAGCCTGCAGTCCCAGCCATGGGCATCGGCTCATCCTCCAGAGCTCCCCCAGCTCTGCCCAGCACCCACCAGGAAAGGGGACACAGGCAGCACATGGGGAGCTCATCCTCCACAGTCTGTCCAGCTCTCAATCACGTCCTCGCAGGGGTGAGATGTTGCACAGAGAAGGATCAGCACGTGAACAGAGTCACAAAGCACTTTCCCAGATGTGCCAGACCAGCCCTGCCCGGAGCACTGCGTTACGGCACCCGGGCACTGCTCATCCTTGTCTTCCAACAAACAGCACATCCTGGTGAGCAGGAAAGGGAGGAATAGAACATTATCATTTCCAGTCCCACCGTGCTGTTCCCAAAACACCAAGCTCAGCCACGGGCAGCTGGTGAAGCTTGGATGTGCCACATCCACGGGCCAGCAGAAGCATGGCCACGCATGGGGCCACGTGTGCACACGCAGAGGCAAAGCACAGCACACAAGGAGCAACACAGACCGTGGTCCCACTGCCAGAGCTCCACAGCTTGGCACCACCATGCACGGTAGAGGATGAGTGTCTGCTGGGGGAGTGGTTGGGCTGAGGCTTCAGGTGCTGTGACAGCTCCACACATGTCCCCAGGGCCCCGTTTCCTAACCCATCACCTCCCCTGCTCGTTCAGGCTGGGAACTCTTTAGGACAGCAGTTCTTTCCTTTGCACCAAGCTCAGCCCAGCCAGGCCCTGACCCCAAAAGCTGAAGTAATCCAATCAGCCTTTTGAAACAACAAAGATTAAAATGCAGCTGATCTCTACAAACCCCCAGCATGTCCCAGCTGCAAAAAAGGGCTCCAGCAGTCCTTCATCACTTTTTGTGGCCGAGTGCTTTTTATCACATATCCATCCTTATACAAACTATCCTTCCCTGTTCAGGACAATCCAGACAGTTTTGTACCTCAAGGACATGCTGCAAATCCACATCTCTGGAAAAACCAATGAATATTAAGCCCTATTTAAAAGGGCAAATGAAAATCAACAAAGAGGTTTAACTTTCTAACAAAGGTCTTCAATTTAAGATAGAGAGTATGAAGCAACAGGTCTGAAGAAGCCTAAAAATACCAGTTAGCTGAGAAAATACAAGGATTACTAACCAGCATTGGGAACTATAAAAGGGTTTTCACCAATGTCCCTTCCAAAGTAAAAGGATGAAGCGCAGTGCTTTCCATTTGAGGCGCAGGACTGGCTGCTTCATGACCCCCAGTGCAGTGTTAAAAGCACTCTGTACATGTTACATGCTCCAAATGACAAGAGGAATGCAGGATGGTGGATCTCTGCTCCAGATTCCCCAGCCTGGTTTTAACTGCCATGAATAAAACAGGAAGTGGAGCATCTTCCAGGTTCCCCCCACACCCCAGACTGGATGAACTGCAGCTTCCTTTCAGGAAATAGAAAGGAAAGAGCAGGAGGGGGCGGGGGGGAGGAAAGAAAAAAAAAGATTAAAAAAAAAAAAGAAAAAGAAGCATCCAGCTACAGTACCAGACAGATTAAAAACTTAACACTAAGGAAAAAACAGAGCAGCAGGGAAAAAACAGACACTTAAACTTTATCCAGTTACACTAGCTAAACTTCAACTAAGAGAACAGAGTTAAATATTAGCATTTGAGAGAAATATATCCATGTGTTATGCAGCCTTTTAACACACATTCTTGCTCAAGAGACAGAAATCATACATAAGCTATGTTTTCCTTGCTGACCACATGAATATATCTTCCTTTAACTCCACAGTGCTCTGCTGCCTTGCTGCACTAACTAGTGAAACTAAAAGGAAAAGCGTGACTGAAGGGGAGCTGGCTTAAATTATCTTTATAACTACTCCTGAAGAAACATTTTGCCTTTGAGACCAATCCACTAAGCCAACTTTCCCTGCTACAGAAGGTTTCATTGGGTCCCTTGCTGTTGATCCACATGCCTGCCTCCACCAGCAATGCACACGCTTTGATGCAATCCATCTGACTAAACAAAACAACAAAAAAAATCCCAAGTTGCTTGCTATAACAGCAATGATGCACTTACCAGCATTCAGGCAAGCTCCTTTGCTAACATGCTTCCCTCTCGAGCACATCAAATTTGGAACAAGGTCCAGGAGCAAGAGAGAACTGAAAACTGACCACAACAAGCTTCCAAAACAAGAAAGGGGGGGTAAAAAAAAAAACCTTACTACAGGAATTCAAATCCTGCTTCCACCAGACCCTGAGTCACCTCCCCTCCCTTGCAATAGATCAGAGCAAAGGGTAAACATTTCCAAATATGGAGATCAAAACTCCAAAGGATGTCAAAAAAAAAAAAAAATCACCCTCTCTCCCTGGCTTTGGCACAGGGATGACTTGCCCCTCTGAAGCATGAGCTGGGCACATTGCCTTTGCTGACCTACACACAGCCTGGACATGGGGCCACACAATCACCTTCAACTGTGCTTTGGACGCTCCTGGCATGATGGGTGACACTGCATCTCTGTCCCCTACTAGGGATGCACAGGAAGATTCAATGGGAGCACCTCCAAGAGTCGCTGCTGCTCAACCCCTGCAACAAACCTCTCTCTCATCCCCTCAACTCACCTGTAAAAATCTCCTAGAACTACTTTATGGCTTCTCTAAAGGCAAATAGACAGATTCAGGCTGTGGTTAGAGCAACAACAGCTTAGCCCAGAAAAGGCAGGCTCAACCAGTAGTCACAGCACATCCCACACTGGCTGCTCACCTGGCACAGGGAAATCTCCTAGTGCTTTATAAAGAGCATGTATTTGAACTTGAGTTATGGGAAAAAAAAAAAAACAACACAAAAACAAAAGACAGCTCTGCACAAAGGCACAAACTGAAGGACAAGACAAGAGATCCCTGCAGGTACAAGGAGCCCCAGGATGGCAGCATCCACCAATCCCTGCTTGGACACACAGCACTGTATCCCATGTCAGGTGGGAACCGGGGAGCACCCAGCCTCCCCACCCCTGTGGGGACTCAAGGGACTTGAGTGTCAATGCTCAAACCCACAAACCAGGTTTAAGAGGCAGTTTTCTTAGAGGGCATAACTATCCCTGCAGAGCCTGCATGCACACCAGAGCAACATCCCCATGCCAGCACTGCCACAAGCATCAGTCCTCAGCAGCAAAGGCTGACCTGCAGGCAGCAGGGGCTGACTCTGCCTGCCAGCATGGGACACCAGCCTCCTGGTAGCTGCAGCCATCGCTCCAGGGGCAGGCAGCCTCTCAGGAATGTGCACAGCAGGACATTTTTAAGGCAAACAGGCTGCCGAGGCAAGGCGATCCAACCAGACCAGAGTGATTCCCCAGCACCACCCACAAGATGCTATTGAATTTATAGGGAAGGAATTCCAGAGCTGACTCTGCCCATGTATGGCCAAAACGAACTGTAAAAAAGCAACATTACAGCACATCTGGCTTTCACTGGTACTGAAGCACAGGCTTCGGGAGAAGCCAAAGTCCTGCAGTGACAGAGGCTCTGCAATGACCTCCAGGAACTGAACAGTGATCAGGGCCCATGGCAGCAAGTTTAGCACCCACAGGTGACAGAAAACATTTAAACCATTGCTTTAAAAGGTAACAAAGCTCTCTGCCTTTTATAATACACCCACATTTAGCTCAGTGATCCATTACTACCACTGCAAAAAAATCAAGCTTGCCAGGCAGCACCAGCGTACATTCATTACACTGGTGGTCATAAAGGCAGCTTTAAAGAGCCAACAGGCCAAGTGGCACTAAGTGGCACACCAGGCCAACCTCAGTGCATTACAGGCTGGGACTAGATCTCCATGGGTAGCTGATTAATTATCTTTCCAAAAGCCCACTAAAACCTCCCACAGGAGCTGTGTGCCCCAGCCAGCAGCAGGGTCATCCAGAGAATTCTCCATGGTCAGAAACAGGAGATTTAAAACCAGTGTAAAAAGTGTCAGCTTGGTGCAGGTTCTACCAACTCTGACTCTAGTTTTCCAGCCCTTTGCAGAAAACAATTCCCAAGGTATTGCTTTTCACAAAAAAAAAATAGTGGAATGAAGCAGAGAATTGTCTAAGTCAAGGATAGGAACAAAAGCACAGAAGGGGAACACCTGGAAGAGCAAAAAACCCCATCACAGGCACACACCAGCCCTTCCAGCTCTAGTGCCCCACCAGAGATGAATAGATCAGAGTTCTCCATAAGACTTAAATGCCACCACCTTGCCTGCCCTGCCAGCAGGGAAATATTAGCTGTACCAGCACGAGAGGCAGAGGGCTTACAGAATGGGAGAGGAATGCAGGCTGCAGTGGCACACATGGTGGGGACAGGGACACGAAACCAGGGGAGCGAGGGTTGCTCACACTGCCTTTGCCTTTGAACAGGGATCAGCCAGGGTATGTTTTATGGCTCTTGGGGTTGAAACCTGAGACTAACGCTGCTTTTGTGACCTTACAGGGACTCCCATTTCAGCAGCAAAGAGAGCTGTTAAGAAGGGGTGGGAGTGCAGGGGCCTGAGCAGATGAGGACAAGCCATTTCCCAGCTCCTGGCAGGCAGCCCAGGGCTGCTTTTCAGTGTGTGCAAGTTGTGCCCATTGAATCATGAATGAGCACATGTCTCTTCCAGGCTGCACTTGCTGATGGGAGACCCACAAAATGGCTATTCCTCCAGCTTGGCTTTCCCCAGGACAGCACTAGGATCTTCCCTCCTCTTCCCAACTGAAATGGCTTTATACCCTCTCCCTTGCAAATGTGCTCACTTTGAACAGAGGCACCTCAGCACCTGTGTTCAGCACCTGTGCTTCAGAACACCTTCCACCCCAAACAACACAGAGGAGAGAAACCAGAGGGATGGACATGTCCACATCCAACTACAGCCTAAACAAGAGCTCCCTGCTACATGGCAACACAAATCCTCCTCCTCGCCACAGTACTAAGGTTGGGAAGTGAAACCTTGGGAGTCGGGGAATAAAATCCAACTCAAGCCTCCTGCACAGCAGTACAAATTGCTATAAAGCAGTCACTGGGTCAGGGGTGGCTAATTTAAATGAAAAATTACTTAAGCAGGATGACTGAGTATATTTGACTCATAGAAACATCTTGAAGGGGCAGAGAACAGAGGGACTGCTACAGAATCACAGGGACATAGGCCACATAATGCAGACAGAAGCACCAGGGATACTCAGACATACACATGCACAACCACGCACACAAACGCCTGCTCCTCCACCATGCACAAAGGCAGATTTAGGACTTGCAAGCTGAAGTCCTGTGCAGTCAAAAGTCAGCACAAACGTTTGTGACAGTTCCACAGGCAAAGGCAAAAAAACGGGTGCAGAGGAATAAATATAGAAAGAAGTCAGGCAGGCAAAGCAGGTGCTGGCTTGTAAAACCTTGGCCAGAAAGGCTCCCCAGGAGGTTGAATCTGGTAGTTTTGCAACAGCTCCACAAAAAGACAGAAGAGACAGGAAGAAAAAAAAAAGAGAACATGAATGCATATGCATTCTTTAATCGCCTTATATAGTATATACAGACATTTGGTATATACACCCCCAAGCTCTCATATGCCACTGTATAGTATATACTATATATGCATTGCCATCTTTGTTTCCATGTGCCTACACTTGCACAGCCTGTGTCTGTGTGTGTGTGTATGCATTTTACCCCCACGTTGCCTCTCCGTGCGTGCTGTGACACCACACATCACTCCACAGAGCGTGTCTAAAGCCTCAGCACCATAGCCTGGGATGACTCCTGGACACTCACAGCTCTCACTGCTGTACCCTTCCCCACCAAAGCCTCTGGCTGTAAGCACCACCAGGGAACCATCAGCTTGTCTTGTATCTTCCAGTGATCCCACTCTCCCTCCAAACTTTGAGAGCCATGAACAAGGTGCCACTGTCAGAAAAGCCTGACATCCTTCTTGTCCCTTGTGCCTGTGGATTGTGTTTACATACCAGTTCTCACGCTGCACAGACTGACTGGTGGGATGAACTCAGAGCAGGGCGTTTGGAAACGCTCAGGGCTCCACCAGACTCACGACTTCGGGTTTCTTTCCCAGACCTGAAAAGAGAGAGACTTGAGTGATGCACACTGGATGGGCTTCCCAACAGCTTGTCTCCAAAGCCAGCAGTTTAACCCACACAATTTCTGGGAAATGTAGCATTTTCCTCCACAGCTCTCTTAAGCAGAAGTGTCCACACTCCTGGACTTGTTTCAGCACCTCCAAAAGCAAGACCCACCACCCTGAACTGGGCCAGTGACCAGCAATGACCAGAAGTATCAGCTGCCAGAATCTGGCCAACAACTCACCTCCTTGAGTCACCACTCCTTTACTGCTCTTAATGCCATTCAGAAGGGAGAGAGAGATAAGGACATGCCACATGAGGCAAAAAATAAGAGAACAGGGTGAACCATCACTCATCTCTGGCCTTGGGCACAGTGAGGGAGCTAGAAGGCAGCATTTAAAGCATTTTAAAGCTCATGGGGTTACGATTACTGTAAGCAGAGCTACACCACCAGCCCTCCCCCTGAGCACAGCCTTTTCTCTCTGGAGCTCTTTACAATTCCCAGTGGGGACTATCTCACCCTTTCCTGAAGCTGAGAAGCAGACATCACCTTTTCTTGATGAGACTTGCTCAGTGTTGTGTTTTCCCCTTCTGCAGATGATGAAGTTAGAGCAGTGTGGCCACCAGGCCACATGGCCACCATTTTGTACGTGCCATGGGACACATCAGCACACGTCCGGGTGCATCCTATGGAGACCAGCAGCATCTGAAGCACACACTCCTTCCTGTCCCCATCAGCCCCTGGCCAGCATCCTGTTCTAGCCACATCCTGGTCACTCTAAAGCCCTATCTCTGCCCATGACAAGCACTGGCTTCTCATCACAGCTCAGCAGAAAAAGCTTCTGCTATTTGCTGCTGTCACTGTGGAAAAGCTCAGTTCAGACTTGTTTGTTGTACCTGTGCTGTTCATGATGGTGCATGTGAGCCCACAAAAATACCACAAACAAATAGTAAAATGTGTTGGTGGCTCATGGTCCAAGTCCACTCTTCCCATCCCCAAGATGCCTTCCTGCTCCTTGTCCCCCATGCAATGTCTGAGGATACAACAGCCAGGAGAGCGACGGAGATTTTTCCTCTCCCAAGCAGTGGCACATATCCATTGTGCCAACACAACCAGAGCACACTGAGCTTCATTCTGACCCAGCTCAGTCCCATGGTCCCTGTGCTGGTACCCAGCCCTGATCCCCCACAAGGAAGTGGTCCTCAAAGTCCCCAGGACCCCCAGAGCTCCCCTCAGCTGTTATGAGGGCAAAACCAACTGGAAATTGCAATGGCCTCTCCCACTCACTGCAGGGATGAAGATGCGTAACTGCAGAGGTTTATTGCTGATGAACTCAGCCAAAGAGCAATTTCTCTCCATCCATCAACGAGGAGACAAGTACAAGCAAATATTATGGTTGTGCATGTTTACTTTTCATTTTAAAATAATGTAGAGTTACATACAATTTAGGTCCTTCCCACAGGCTCCTGGCAAAATGCCCTTCAGTCTTATCTGCAAAGGCAGAAGACAACAACACTCCCCTCTAATTCCAACACTATTTCAGTTCAACTCAAAACAGCACCTCCAGGAGCTCCAGGTAAGACAATACTTCTTGGGACCCAACCTGTGTTTAAAAGAATCTTGCCTCAGGATTGTCCCTCACCAGGTTTAACTCACAAAATGTTTACAAGATCAGTGATAGGATTTGGCCAGTTGAACTGCATCTTCCTTGCTTTGCTTCCCACTGCTGTCCCTGTCAGCTGTGACTGGGGCTCCTGCAGCAAGGTGAGCAGGACATCACATTCCCTCCTTGAGGCATCCAGCTGAAAACTTGCTGTGAAACCACCCTGTCAGCAACAAGGGGGGCCCAGCACCCCACCAATGCCCAGGCAGGCACTCCTGACACTACACCCACAGGTGAACACACAGGGACAGCCTGATTGTCACAGCAATATCCACTGCACCCACTCTATCAAAATACTCCATTAAAGACAAAATTATCAGAAGCAGTTCGTTCACTCACTGGCTGACAATATTGATGCTGTATTCCTGACAGTAAGAATTGATGTTTCTCAAGAAAAAAATAAACATGAATTTAACACACAAGTACAGAAAGCAACTTCTTCTGTTTGCAGATATAAATCTAAAACCAGTAGTTTACAAAGCCTGAATTTAAGCATCAGGCCTGTGTTATTGCTTGAGTTTTCTTAGATTGTTCAGATTTTTCAGGAACAGACAGTGGAAAAACCTCTGCAAGAATTCCAAGTTTCAAAGAGCAGCAGTCAACACTTTCAGACAAACAGGCATCCCTAATGTAACTCCACAGTGACCACATAGAAATGGAAGTAACCAGAAACCACAGTCCCTTTAAATGCAAAAGTCTTACCTGTGAAAATGACTTCAGCTAATGACACTTCTCTCAGAACTGGTTCGAATGGCATCTGTTTTTCTAACTATTCAAAAGCTGCATTCACTTTTAATCTCCTTTACACTTGAAAGTGTTACCAATATTTAGAGTCTATTTATTACTAGTATTACTTTTTTAAATCAGCATAGCTGTACTTGTTGAAGCCCAAGTGCAAGCACCAGTTGAAGTGGGATAAAGCGACCTCATGCTGGGATCCTTTGTTCCATTCCTTCATGAAGCAGATGGCTCAACCTGACAGCCACAAGGAAAATTGTCATTTTAACTGTTCCAGTCACCAATTTTTAAACACAGACAATCTCTCAGCCAGTCACCCATCAGCACAAACTGACATGGGTCCCCCCCCTGCACGAACAGTTCCCCAGATGCCAACCTCATTCAATCTGACCTTTTCATTTTAAATGAAAACCACTTAAAAGCCTGCCCTGTTCTGACATATGTCTTTTTATGTCTTTCCCACTCTGTGCCAATATATGTGTTATTTG